CAAATCATGATGTTATTCTTCAAAGTACCTTAGATGCTTTGCTTAATCTGATTATGATGGAGTACAGTCAAAAGATGAATGAGTAGGAACTTCCAAACCCAATAAATTTAGAACAAACCTTTCCTACAGGACTGGTCTGTCAATTTTCAGCCTTAAGCTATTCAGTACAGCCCCTTCAAAACCTCTATTCTTTGTATTTAATATTAATCCCAGATGATAAAAAGAAACATAAATCCTTCCAGAAGTCTGTTCCATTGGAAATATTTCACAGAGTACTCTAGAGCTACACCGTAAAGGAAGAAAGAGCTGTAAGCCATATTGCTAGACAAATCAATGAGCCTGTGACGGGGCCAGGAATAGAAACAGCATTAGTATACCTTGGGAATGGATGTAAAAGCTGTGTCAGCTCTGGAAGCACCAACTGACTGTCCTTCCTACACCATGACACACACTGTATTTAATGTGCCTATTTCTCTTGAGCTGGTTCCAAAATTTAGGGCATGCAAAGGATTAATCAAGCTTACGCCCAAGACATGTCAGACAGAATATTTCTATATGCTTCTGTAGTGAGAACAATTCCATCAAAACCACTTTGCACAGAGAAGAATCTATGCTCTTTCAAGAAAACAACGGTAACAGTCCAATGCTTGTGTATCTGGATGATCAGGACACACTTAAGTATCATAGCATCACAGATATCCCTTACTTCCAAAATGACAGGATTAGTTTAAAGGGTATGGCATTTAAGAAAATAGTAACACAGGGTTGGGTTTCTGCTTACTGATTTTCCAAATCTTTGCCACTTCATCTTTGACATCAGAATAGGAAACCTCCTTTATTTCAAGCAAATGAACAAACAACTTTCACATGATCCAGGGGTGAGGCTTTAGAGAAATCCCTGCCAAATACTGTATATTGATAGCTCCACAAAAGTTCTTTTGGGTCTTCTGCTCCTGAGCAGTTTGGTTTGCTTTTCATATGTTTATCCAGCACATTCCATATGAAATGAATTACACACCTTTTATTCTAATTATGTATATTGTCCCCAACCAGGGGAAACCAAAATATATGATGTTTGAAAGAAATTCAAGTATCAGCTGATTAGATTCAATTTACTACACTCACCAAGTGCAATCTTAGCTTTCAGCTGTAAACCCAATCTGGTTGGTACCCAGCAGTAGTTTCACAGGTATATGCTCTGCATTAAACATATATATACTTGCATATATCCATATGTCCAGGGTTTCAGTACATTGGACCAAATTCTGACTTGAATTATATTCCACCAATTCCACAGAATTGCCTAGGAAGATACTTAGAGCAGGCAAAACTAGATCCACCCCTACTGCACAGACTGCTACCTTCTCATTCCTTTCATTGATTTTTCCTCCTCTTTCGACCCATTCTTTGAGTCTTTGGCAGGTTAAGAGTTAGACAAATTATTTGGAAACAACTTGTATTTGCAGATCCTCATTCACTGTGTAAATTACTCAATACAGTCACATGAGGCAAAAGGAGGATTTTTCTGCTGGCATCTCATTTAAATACTAATTAATAAATAAGTTAAGTGATAAAGGTGCCTTTATCATTTGTGTGTTTCCAGAACTCTAAAACTTTGATAGAACACACCATCTTCTGTTCTCTTCTGTGCAACTAATAGTCATTTAGACACCACAATGGTTTTCTTTCCCCTCTATATCTACTGTTTGCAAACTGATCCTCCTGACTCTACAAATGCAAAGCAGTTATACCTTGAGATTCACTGAAATGTTGCTAGACCTATTATTTGCAGGACTTTCTGGCTGCATACATAAAATGTTGACTAACAGAATATACCACGCATACAAAGCAACATAGCAAGCCATCTGTAATAAAGAGGTGCAAAAAGAGCTCCACTATCTTGTCAGGGAAAAATCGTAGGCAGAACTACCACTTCAAATAACTCACCCAGCAAAGAGAAGTGCACAGGCATAAACAAAAAGCAGCACATAAGTTCTCAGTGTAGATCTAATTAAGCTTAGTCAGAACAATGAATTACAATAGACTAGTTTATGTCTTATAACTAGTGTATTTTTCATCATACTTAGCAAACTTAGTCTTTTTGCAGATCTTTTGCTTACACAGGTGCAAATGTCTAGAATCTGACACTGTTTCGTATCTCAATAACCTTTGGCTTTTGTTTTGCACATACCAGCAAGCTACACTCCTCTGCCACCTAGTGCTCTGAGGAAGTAGAGTTTCTATCAGCCACCAACTCTTGCCGTCATAGTGTGTTCAACAGAATAGATGAGGACTGTGCAGAAACCTTTGATTAAAACTTCCTTGCTAAATGGGAAATTAAAGAGAAACTTAGTTTATCAACCTCTACGGATATTGTAATAGATCACTGCCAGAGATCACCTCTATCTCTGCAGATCTTACCTAGAATACAAAATTGTTCAGCAACTCTCAGCCTTTAATTTTTAGAACATTACATCATCCTCCTGGATCCAAAACATAAAATAATTTCTACACAAAATCCATATAGAAGAAAACCATAATAAAATACAGCATGTAAAAGAAGGCTTTTTTCACCACTAGCAGGCTCCCAACGGATCAATGTGAAATTCCAGAGGCAGGTAATTTTGTTTTTAAATGGATTCTGGAGCACAGCGTTGTAACAAACTCCTTGCTTTCTGTTAGGTTTAACTTATATTATACTGGAAAGTGTATGCTTCTATATCAGCAGGATTCCAATTTCTCCTTCATTCAAAACCACACATTAACAGGGTTTATTTCAAATAACTGACTGTGCCACATGGTTTAGAAGAATCCTGGACATCTTTATTGTTTTAAAAAGTAACGTGGCTTCATATTGTCAGTGTTAATGAAGCAAAGCTATATTTAGCTTGAATTACTTTTCCTTCAAAGGAAGGAAGGAAGAGAAGGAACTCTTTGAAGGATGAATGAATTCTTCATCTCTCACTAAAGATTTTTGTTTAACTTAACTTGTGCTCTACCAATTGCATATATGAATTTTCAATATTTGTCTGTTGTTTTTTTATTAGAGACCATGAATACCAGATACTTTAATTACTTTTTTCTGCCCCCATTATCCAGAAACCACTACAAAGCATTACCAAGCATCTCTTCTTGCCTGCATTGCATAAATGCAGTACTAACGTAAACACTATGGCTGTAAAATGAATACTAGTATCACCACGACATGTCAAGTATCTTAAAGCATCTCAGTGTTGACACAACCTAACTTCCCTCATGTGTCAGAAGAACTCTATTTGTAAAGAATATTGTAGAATTCAGTGAACTAATGCAATATACAGCCAGTTGTAATTATTACTCCATTAGCAGAACGCACATGTTCTCTCTCATGTTAAAATAGTTTTGGGTTTGTGTTTAAGTTATACCTCCATGTTTCTGAGGAATGAAGCCATGACTCTCAACATCCCAGTCTAATTTAGCTTATTTCTCAACAGAACCTTTGTTAAAAATAGGAACATGAAAAAAGCAAGTAAGTAAGGTGTAATTGATCCTATAATACATGGACAAAGAAACAAAAAACAAAACAACCCACCTCTCCCTAATATGTATATAAATATATATGTCTTACTTGGGACAAGGAAAATATCTATACCTATCTTATTGTCTCATCTCACCTCAAATATGTGTCTCATCCCATGCAGCTCTGTCAAAAATAAGCCTTCACTCTGCATCCTGCTTGCCACCTTTTATTGGCTTCATTTCTAAATAAGTGAAAAACAGATATGACTGTAATAAATCCTGTTTGGATAAATTGAAAAGAACTTATGTTGTTTGCTTGGATACTGTCAACTAAATGGCATCAATTTACACTCATCAGTTTTCATTATTTCCTTAGACTATGGGAGAAATGTGACATCTTCACTAACATCTGTTCCTAACAGTTATGTTTCAGAACATGGAATTCCGACCAAGGAAAGCAGAAGTGAGGCATTACAGCACACACAGGCCCACTCCTTAACTAGGCATAATTGGCTCAGCCACCTATAAATGAAGGCTAGGCCGGAAAGTGTGGTGTTCCCACTTTCATATTCCTACTATCCACACTGCCACTTTTACGACCCTGCCACGGGTCAAGCTACAGGGAGATATCCACAAAAAAAACCCAAGCCTGTAGAAAGGCAGGGAACAGCTCTGTCAGCACAGAGGACTCCCCCAGAAGAGGACAACACAGTAGCAGTTACACTCAAACATCAAGGAAACACAGGGGCAACCTAGACAGGGCTGGTTCAGGCTTGCATTTTGTGGGAGCAAATGGCTATTAGACTGGCTGAGTCATAATGTCAGACAGTACTGTTTGTATATTGGAAAGCCGACCTAAAATTGAAAGCAGTCTTAACCTTAAATGCCACGGTGTTAGCCTGTGGGTAAAACCGAAGTGAAACTCCACAGCAAGGTGCTATAAATCCACCACCGAGGAGCTCCAGTGGACAGCAGAGGGCAGAGCTGCCCCTGCTCTGCAGAAGACTCAGGACCTTAAAAGCACCTCTTTCCAAGCACCCATTACATTACACAGACTACTTAAAGGCAAAGGCTGCAAAAGACTCAGTTCTGACCGATGCCAGATGTAGAGATTCACAGTCTTTGCATTTCAATCCGTTATTTCTCTCAAGAAATTAAGTGCATTTTGAAGGATAAAAAAAGGCTTTCTGTGTCCCATCAAGACAGAAAATTACTATGTATACTGACAGCAAGAAACACTTAACTCTTAGTCTCCTACAGAAAAAGTGCAACTAAAAAGTGCAACTACTACATGGCAACCACTATTTTGCCCCAAACCAGGAACACCACCACATATCTCAAACAGCAGCACTGTGGAGAGATGCAGGCAGATTCTGTAAGAGCCATGGAAATAACCAGATTACTGTATCTTTCCTTGTAAATATGCTTTCTACCTAACCAACATTGGGTTTGAATTTATTTTCCCCTCCCCCTCCAAAAGAGCAGCAGCCAAAAGAAGAAAGCAGATTTCCCTGGGAAACTCCACATACTTTATTTTACATCTGTGAATGTTTTATGTTCGTTAAAAACTGGCTGTTTACAAAACCAGCATAGAACATCAGCATACAAATTACTCAGTGTACCGCACTCAGATGTCCAAACTCAAGGGAGATCCTGATCTCTCTTTAACTGTTGACTGTTACGATGCATCACTGAGAAGTATTTTCCACTGCATGCTATAGAAACAACACCTGACTGCAAAATCATACAGCATGATGTGCTATTCAAGCAGGCTTCCAAGAAGCCCATAGGTTTTCTGTATCGACATTAAGTGAATAAAATGAAGAAAACATTCTTGAAAATCATGATCTTTCTTGCTGTAGTAACTGCTTTTGTTAGCATTAGTTCCTTAGCATCAATTTTGAGCAAACCATGATGGGCGCTTCCTGGCTCTTTCAATGATCCTCTTGCCTGCATCTTTTTCTGTGGGCTTTTCTCCATCATACAGGACGACAGTCTCTACAGTTGGAGCATTAAATGGCCCTCCTTCCTGTTTATACATTTCCTTCCGGATCAGTCGAGTTTCTGCTTTGACCTTTGCATAACAATAGCCACAAAGGACGTGTTTCTGTTTCAAGTTTCCACACTCACGACAAACGTCTATGTTCGTCTGAAAAAAGACATTGGAAAAGAGAAAATTTTGTAATCCGAATAACAGCAACAAAAGAAACAGGACACAATCACAAATTACTCAGAAAGTTAAACTAAAAATATCAGAGAAATTAAATTGCCTTTTCAAAATTCATTCTTCTATGGAAAGTACTTTTTTCTGTAACGTATTGCTGTGTTAAATGCTTATGACTAAAAAAGGCCTATACAGTCAACACCTAAATCTTTATGCCTAGTGATGTTTGCAAGGCTAAAGACCTATCAACTCAATTAGATGCACAGGAATTTTCTCCACTTGTACGAGCTAGTTAGCTAAAAAGTCATATTTTGTTGGCTTGGACCTGAACTGTCATCGTTTATTTAACCACTACTGTCCACACAATGACCTGTTGAAAAGTATTTTGCGGATTATAGTGTCTTTTAAGCAAAAAAGTCTTTTAAGGGACTGTAGCGATCGGACAAGGAGTAATGGGTTTAAACTTCAACAGAGGAAGTGCAGGCTAGATATAAGGAAGAAGTTCTTCCCTGTGAGGGTGCTGAGGCACTGGTACAGATTGTCCAGAGAAGCTGTGGCTGCCCCATCCCTGGCAGTGTTCAAGGCCAGGTTGGATGCGGCTTGGAGTAACCTGGTCTCGTGGAAGGTGTCCCTGCCTGTGGCAGGGGGTTGGAACTGGATGAGCTTAAGGTCCTTTCCAACCCAAATTACTCTGTGATTCTATAAAATAAATTCCAGAACATTTTTCCAGTCAATATTGACCACTACAATGGTTCTCTGAAACAAGTGAAATGAAAAATAACCGGCGTAAATCTCACTCCAGCATAATTGTTTGTCATTAACAGAACTAACTTCAGTGAATAAGGTCGCCAGCCTATGGAAATCTGGTGATTACCTTGACTTTTATAAGCTTATTGGGGTTTCTTCGCCTGCAGCGGTTCACTTCAATGGTGCGCCTTTTCTTCGGCACTGCCATCCACAAGATGCTGTCCAGCAGGCTCGGCCCCTCATTACTTTCATCGGTGTCATGTACTGGCTGTGGAAGGAAAGCTGGACCCTGGACAGCTAGTGCTGGTCCTGAAGGAAAAAGGAAAGGTAACTCGTTACAGCTAAGCCCCACTTTGGCGTGCAGCCGGGTAAACACGACACGGATACTACTGATACCCCCAAAGCGGTAAGAGCGGCCACCAGCGTCTCCCGCCCTGTTCCCTCAGCGTCCGCAGGGCTCCGCGCTCTCCTTATCCAGCCTTTCTCTCCCTCAACCACTGAACACTAAGAACAAGCCCCGATTCCGCCCTCTCCTTCAGCCAGCACCTACCCCAGGGCGGGCTCTGTCCCCCAGAGAAACCCGGCAAGAGTCCGCCCTCCAGCCGCTGCCAACAGCGCTGAAGCAGACCGCGAAGCCGTGGCAGCGGGGAGAACACTAACACCAAACCCGCCATGTCCCCACACGGGTCCGCCGAGCCCTGCGAGACGGGAAGGGCGGGTGCCCAAGCGCGCCTGCCGCTGAGCCCTCTGGGAAACCGAGTGCGCCGAGCCCTTCAGGACTCCACAGGCAATAGAACCAGAGGACTTCAACTCCCAGCATACCCCGCAGCGTGCCTCTTCACCAATCGCGTCCCTCGCTGCCCTGGAGCTACTTCCCGGTATGCTCCGCTATTGGCCAATCAGCGCGCTAGTTGTGTCCTCGTGCAGGAAGCGGGAGGAGCGCCTGCGCTTTGTGAGGGGAGTGGAGGGGTCGGCTCCATCATGGCGGAGCGCGGGTACAGCTTCTCCCTCACCACGTTCAGGTACTCGGAGGGACAGGGCTGCGGGCCCGGGGTCTCGGCGGGCAGGCTGGCGGGAGAGCGGGAGGACGGCACGCAGCCTGCGCGGAGCGGTCTTCTGGCGGTGGGGCAGGACGGAGTGAGGAGTTTGCAGAGTCATCGGGTCCGCGGAGCCGGGCCTGCGGGTGGCAGTGGCTGGATCCCGGCGGCGTGGGGAAGGCATTGGATTTCAGGTGGCTTTGTGTTCGCCTGAGCGGGTGCACAGCTGCTGTGAGCTGACCGGCTGCAGGCGCAGCGGAGAGAGAGGCGAACGCTTAGGTGGGAGCTCCGGGTCCCACCCGAGCTCTGTCGCTGATTTCAGGCCCAAGTGCTTGTATCATCTGTCGGTGCTGTGAGTCGGACTCACTGTGGGGCGAACCTGAGTTCTGTCCGGTCACTGGTAGTGCTTTACCAGGACTGCGTGGTGGAGCTGCTTAGCGCACTTGGGGTCCCCACGCACACGCTTTAGGGAGGTGGTAGGAATTGTGTAATTTTGAGCTACCTGGAGATGCGGGGTGATACCTGAGATACGGTATATTGAGAGGTTGCTTCAGAACAAGCTTTGCGGATGTGAGAATGAAAGAAGCTCTCAGATGAGTTTTAATAGTTTATATCCCTTTCTGCTGCACACTGCAGGCAGTGCTCTCTTTGCACTTTGTGTTGTGCACAGTCTAGATGTGGGATGATTGCAGGCACAGAACTAATATGTTGTTGGAGTGGTGTCTATTAAAGTGTTGCTCTGACACGTACACTTTAAGAGAAAAGGAAATTACTCCTTTTTTCATGAAGCTGTTATACAGAATTATATTAAACATAGGAAAAGGAAAACCGAATGCAGGAATCTTTGTGCTGCTTTTGGTAAAGTGCACCCTTAATCTCAGGGGAGAGTAAAGCTGTGTAATTGCAAAGCAGGTTACCAAGGGTTTGTTGCAGTAAAGCAAATAAAACAGTTCACAATTTAAAATGAGGAGAAGAATCTTCTTAATAGGTGGATGCAGCCAAACATGCCTGCTTTACCTAAGTGAAAAGTGAATGCTTTAGTAGCTACTGGAAATGGTTTCTTAAGGGAGTACACAGACTTACTGTAGAGAAGTTCCTTGTGCTGGGAATTATATATTTTAGTTTGTGCTTACTTTTAAAACATTTTGCTGATATTCTGTATATTTTAATTGCTGGCATAGGAAACTATTGTTCTGGTTTGTTAGCATTTTGTAATGGAGAAGCTAGAATTATTACTTTGTTACCTTTATACACTGTTTACTCAGTGCATAACTAACTAGGCTGATTATTGCTTGCTTTGTTGGGTAGTTTTGTTCTTTTTTGTAACTCCTAAATCAGATAATTTTCTGTTTTATTTGTGCATCTATTAAACCAGTAGCATCTGAAACACAGCCCAGGGAATAGATTCCACTTGCAGAATCACTTGTCCAGTGGGACTTTGTGCTGTCCCTTTTCCTTGGGGTGCAGAATGTCAGCCTGACACCTGCTGCTGTGTTCTGATGATACTACATCCACTACCAGAAAGACATGGATCGCTAAAATGCAGGAATACCTGGGGATGGAATGGGAGCTTTTTCTGTCTTATGCCATTGACCTGATGTGTGCTTGTCAGTCAAAAGGAGTGGCTGTGTCTTGCTTGTATTTTGCTTGTACCTTTCAGCAGTGAACATCAGTGTTTTATACTTTTACAAACCAGACGTATAATGCCATTTCAGTAGAAACTCATGACACTCTGAAGATTATCCCCACTGAGTAGAAAACCAGTTTAAAATGGTATAAAACTGGAGAATCAACTTGTTCTCCTTCAACCTGCATCCCAGTCACTACTCCCTATCCGAGACATTTCACAAATAAAGACTGTTGTAGGAAAGGTTTGAGCATATCAGAATTCTGTTAGGCCTTACTTTTGTATTTTCCTTTATAGTCCTTCTGGAAAGCTTGTTCAGATTGAATATGCTTTGGCTGCAGTGGCTGCAGGAGCTCCATCAGTTGGCATTAAAGGTATGTTCAGAAAACAACTGATTCAGTGAAGAATTAAGGATTTGTGAGAGCTACTTGAAAAAATAAAGTACTTTGGCCTATGTACTGGGCCTTTTTCATGTTGTGTTCTATTACATACTTTGTTTTTCTTTCAGGGGTTTTTCACATGTTTCAGTGGGTTTAATATTTTGTATGTTTTTTTCTGCAACTGTTGTTTTGTTCTAAAGAAGGAAGTGAGCATAGAGCTTCATGCTGGAAGAAGAAAATTGTTTAGGTGATATTGGAGACACTCAGCTGGTAGAAGCAGACATCTGTTTGTTTGAGTGTCTCTTAATTAAGCAAGCTGTGTGTCCATGGTATTTAAATATCACAAAGTTACTTGAACTGCTCAATTATTAATGTGATTCAGAATCTTTAGAATGGGATTATGGGAGCTGTAAGAGTATTTAAAATGAGAAATGATGCATTGAGTGGATTCATCAAAGTATCTCTGTTTAATGTGACCATAAACTTGAAAGGGTTTTAAAAAAGGGAGGACCAAAATTCTTTACAATCCAATATGCTTAAGTATTTTGACAGCTTTCAGTTATTTCACTTTAAAATTAAAAACCCCCAAATCTTGTTTCTTTCCAGCTGCAAATGGAGTGGTGCTGGCAACTGAGAAGAAGCAGAAATCCATTCTTTATGATGAAAGGAGTGTCCATAAAGTAGAACCAATTACCAAACATATAGGTTTAGTGTACAGTGGTATGGGTCCAGATTACAGGTATGACAAACTTTGGTTGGTTGCTATTTAGGTGCAGTTTCTTACAAGAAATGTAAGAAATGGAAACAACTAGCAATTAGCTGTTTCTTTCTAAGTGTAGGTCCTAATATTACATTGTATTGCACTGTATCTGAAATTAACTTTAAGTTTTTCTTAATATGTTCAATACCTTGTCAAATAATCTTCTATTTAAAGAATGAGTAGGGAATGAACAGTGGTGTACTTCACCCTTAGTTTCAGTTTAAGTATTTCAGAGATTATTCACTGTAAAGATAACCCATCACAGTCTGTGCTTTCTTACACTGGTGTTATGGCAGATGTATAAAACTCCTTAGCACAGTATTTATTATGAGTTTTCAGTTCTAGTTGTAATAACTAGTTGGAATTTCTTTGATGTACTAATTTTGCCTTTGTTTTTAGAGTACTTGTGCACAGAGCTCGGAAGCTGGCCCAGCAATACTACTTGGTTTATCATGAGCCCATCCCAACAGCTCAGCTAGTACAGAGAATTGCTTCTGTAATGCAGGAATACACACAATCTGGGTATGTTTTATTTTTTAAGTTGCTTAGAAAGGTTTTGTTTAAATGTAAGGAATAAACAACATTGTCACTGGCAGTGTTCAAGGCCAGGTTGAACGGGGCTTGGAGCAACCTGGCCTAGTGGAAGGTGTCTCTGCCTGTGGCAAGGGGTTGGAACTGAATGAGCTTTAAGGCTCCTTCCAATCCAAACGTTCTATGACTCCATGATAATAACAGCTACCCGGTAATGCAGTTTTCTGTGTGTCAAAAAGGCAGATGGTTTTTCGGTGGAGAATGTCCGCAGAAAGTGGGCCAGCAGGAGGAGCACTAACTGGTAGTGAGATCAGGTCTTCTTGCAACCAAACATGGCAAACAAGTGTCCGTTAGGTTTTGTACTGTTGGTTGACTAGTCATTCTTGACCACAGCTCTGGGCTGGTGGGAAGGTTAACACATCCCAAATAACTCAGTCACCTTTGGTTTTCACTGAATAAATTTTGTATATCAGCTGTGGGTTTGTTTACTTTTTAGTGGTGTTCGTCCATTTGGTGTATCACTGCTAATATGTGGCTGGAATGAAGGGCGGCCCTATTTATTTCAGTCAGATCCATCTGTAAGTATCTTACATTTGTAAATCTTACTGCTTTTATAAAACATTTAAAGCTTTATATGTGCTGTGATGAGAAGAAGAATGCAGAGCTAGAACATTCATTCAGTAGAGGTCAGAATAAGCCATTTCAGTAGGTGCTTGGGGCAAGCCCTTATCATTCTGTGCGTACATGTTCTTGTACTGCTTGAGCAGCTGGTTTTGAGGGAGATGAGCTTTTCATGCACTCCCACTTAGTTTGTAGTGCCAGCAAAAGTAGCATTCTGCAGCAGGTACCAGTAAAAAAAAGGGAAGAACTGACTACTTATGCTGCTCAAATAGTTGTTCCCACAACTGGATGGAGGTTACACCAGAGTGAGGCACTGGAATAGGCTGCCCAAGGAGGTTGTGAATGCTCCATCCCTGGCAGTGTTCAGGGCCAGGTTGGACGAGGCCTTGGGTGATATGGTTTAGAGCGAGGTGTCCCTGCTCATGGCAGGAGGGTTGGAACCTGATGATCTTAAGATCCTTTCCAACCCTAACTATTCTATGGTTCTATGATTGTGGAATGTAATGCGTATGCTTTAGTATTTAATGACAGTGGTTAATTTAAGTGAGTTTATTTGCTGTGTTTGCACTGCACTTCTGTAAAGCTGCCTTTTGATGCATGTGTGAGTAATAAGGCTTTCCGTCAAACTAAAACTTGGTCACTGTAGTGATCATTGATGAGCTTCAGAAATCTGAATTATTGCCTGATGCTCAAACGTAAAAGGCAAACTGCAGATGCCTTGTGTAAGGCAGCTTGATTGAGCCATAGAACTGCTGACGGTCTTCATGCCAGAGGAGAGAATAATGATGGCTAAATAACCTGTTAGTAGCTGAGATAAATCAGATGGCTGATTTGCAACAAGTTATTTACATTACTTGAACAGTAAGAATATATGGAGTGAACCTCAGGAAAGATGTGACTGTATTCAGTCTCAAAGGCAAACATACTACCTCTGTTTTAGGAATCCCAAATAAAAACTGTGCTAATGACTTACTAAATTCATCTTTCAAATAATGGGAGGATAAAAATTAGGTGGGGCCCTATACAAATATTTGTACATTTTCCCAGCATATATTTCCATATTGAATTAGTTTGAATGGACTCCAGAATAGTCTGCTATATTCTCAGAACATTCACTATGCTTATAATGACTTCTGTACTTTCTCCCAAGTAACTGAATATGTAATGTCTGACTAAGGTACACAAAACAATTCAATAGATTGTTGCTTTTACAGGGAGCTTACTTTGCATGGAAAGCAACAGCAATGGGAAAAAATTACGTCAATGGGAAGACATTCCTTGAGAAAAGGTAATGTATGATACGTGTCTGAGGTTTGTTCAGGTGCCATGTGACATATAAAGATAGATAAAAAATTCACAGTTTTTATCAGGGCAAAGTTTTAAAGTACTTAAGATACGCTTCCAGTTTACTTACTTACACATGCCAAGGAAATTTGCTCTATTTAAAATCCAGCTTTTGTGTTTACAGAAAATTATTTTGGTGCAGGAAATATTTTATTTAACATATTCACAGAAATATTGTTCTTTACAGAGTCAGTAGTAAAAGTGATTATTTTTTTTACAAGTAATAACTTTGGCTATTAATAATCACAATGCTTACAAATAATATTTGTATGAGAAACAGGAAGATTTTAGCAGTGTTTGGATTTTCAGAGACTCCGGGGTTATTAGGATGTGGCAAGTTCTTTGTTCCATGCTGAAATACACAAACTTCTGCTTACAGATACAATGAAGATTTGGAGCTTGAAGATGCCATTCATACAGCTATCTTAACACTAAAGGTTAGCAAAATATTTAAGAAATGAGTTTCTTACCGTTACGGCATCATTGGTGTGATTCACTGAACTGTATTTTCTTTAATAGGAGAGCTTTGAAGGGCAGATGACAGAAGACAATATCGAAGTTGGCATCTGTAATGAAGCAGGTTTTAGGAGGCTTACTCCAACTGAGGTTAAGGACTACTTGGCTGCAATAGCCTAGTAGGAACCGAGCCAGACTGTGTGATTCACACAAAGGTCTTTTTAATTTTGGCTACTTAAATGTTTTTGTTTGCAGTTTTTGCATACTTATTTCTACATGGTTCGTCTGAGAGATTTTTTAAATATCATGGGTGCAAAGGCAACAGTCCTAATGTTGTAATACATGGAATCTTATTACAGGTAATTCTTTCCCTTGATACATGAACTCTTTGTACACAAAACACTGTACAAAATGTAAAATTACAATGACAGCTCAAAAAAGGTAAAGAATAAAATTCGAAGGCCACTGTTTTGGGGGCAGATGTCTGTGTGTCTTTTTAATCATAGCTTTTTATCTGCATAAAGCTGAGTCTTCAGTATCTTTACTGTTAAGGAAACAGAATTTTCCACATCCAGCCACAATGAACTCGTGTGAGACCTTTTAAAGAGTTTGAATTTTGAGTGGACAGGGTGAATTTTGTTTTCTTTCACTTTGGAGTATTGTGTAATATTAAGTTACATCCAGAAATGGTTTTTATCTGGTGTAAGAGATCATGTGCTTTCACAAATAGCCAGAACAGTCTTCCATTTCAGGTGTAAACTGTGATCTACCTGAGCATCTCTGGTAGATACCTCTTGGTCTTTGTGTCTCAAGAACTTGTTTTCTGTTACTTGGTTTGTAGCCCTAGAAACTGCACTTTTTAAACCCTGAAATACTTCTAGAAACAATAGAAGTGGTAACTCTTACTGAAAGCTAAATGCATCAATAACAATCAACAAGAGCTGCAAAGCAAAGTGAGGATATGTAATGTAATTACTTTATCCCTTGAATTCTGCTGAAGTATTTTCCAACTTGCAAGATAACTCTAAAGGTGCGGTAATGAAAAGATCACTTAATTTATGCATCACAGCTTTTACAGGTGCAGAACTTGGTCTAGATGCTTGTATATTATTGTGTTAGGTGTATGTATCAGTGCATTTGTTACGTGTGTAGTCGTTCAGGTTATATAGAAACAAAACTGCAGAAGAAACAGGATAAAATGTATGTACTTTTTTTCAGCAGAAGTCATTCGGTCTGCAGTCATTTAGGTTACTCTGTGCAGATTTCTTTTGGTTTTAAGCAGTCTGATTGTTAAAATGTTGATAATGAACTGGGAGCAATAGCTTGTATGTAAGGCTAAGAACATATGGAAGCAGTCTGACAGGATACATCTTAGCCAGACATAACTGATGAAGAAAGCACAAAGTATGAGTTAGTCTGCAGAAAGTAGTGTGTAGCTCATTGGTTTGTTCTTTCCAATGTCTGTTGTCTGATGTTTTATGTTACCATTAGGTAAATAAGAATTTCTGAAGCATGCCATAACTGAAGTTCTATTTCCTAATGTCAGAAATAAAAGCTGTGTCCAAACGGTTCATTAAGACTTACTCCAGATCACTTCTTGAGTATTTCACTCTGAAAACCAATCCATGCTCTGATTCTTCTTGTAGAGGAAATGAACAGCTAGGAACCAGAACTGGAGAGTTAATATTTCTAGGTCTTCAATTTGGAATATTTATATACACTCATTTCTTTAATGCTATATATAAATATTATAAGGTGTTTTCTATATAAAAAAATGCAGGTAGATACTTCAGAAAATGGTTAGCATGAACTGCAGTAGCTTAATTGCTTCCTCTACTAGATTAACAAAAGAACATCGTATGAAGTGTAATTGAAACCAAAGCAAGTTTCAAATCATGCTATCGTATTCCCAAAATGGTGACAGTGGGACAAGCAAAATGTTTCAAAGTTTGAGGGATGGGGGTAATAATTGAACAGAATTGTGTAGAATTTTACTGATTTTATAGGTCGGAAGTGGAAAACCCAGTATCATCCCTCTTTTCTTGTGGGTTAATAATTCAAATGTAGTAACTGTTCCTGTGCACAGTATGAAAACCATTGCGCTCTGAATAAGGAAAGCGCTGTCCTTCAAATGCCTGACAACTGGTGTAGATACTGAGAGGGGTTTTGCTCACTGCTCCCTACCTTGTTAGGAGGACAGACAACCATTACCACACAGAGTAGTTTACTGAGGTGTGTATTTCAGAAGTGTTGCTGGCTTTACTTCATGTTATGGACCAACACTGTAAATGGTGGCAGTGTGAAGTTAGTATGTTTGACATATTCTGAATGTCCTCTTGTACCAGGTTGCCTCAGTCAGTGCTTTTCAGGAATGTAAACTGTTTGAATTGATAAAACAATGTGTGGTTTGGTTATTATTATGTGGTGTCATGTTTTCTTTTGAGAACAAGCAGAAGTGTGCCTTGGGAAAGATGAGAGCGCTATGACTGGGCTTTTGTAGCACCGTTTATTAGTACTTGTCATAAAAAGAGACCAGAAAGCTTCAAAACACTGATCAGTTGTAACTTTTCTTTGAGAGTACTTTCCCCTGAGAGTGCTGTCCTCAGGCTGTCTCTGAGCTATGATCTCAGAGCCCCAGTTGTCATTTCTGTGGTAGTATTTGTTCTGTGCATTTGTTTTGTCAGAAATGAGTCAGGAAGGTCTTATGTGGTCTGTTGTCAGTGTATTCATTTTGATGAGCCACCAAACTGATAGTTGAGCAACTGTTTTTACACCGTTGAGAACTGAGTCCCAGAGCCTCCTGATAATGCTGAAGACTTACAGAGAATTAGAGTTTGTGGGACTTGCTGTAACTTGGAAAGAATATACATAATATATTGAGTTCAGGTTTTATTTATCGTATTAGATAATTTTCTTCGTGGTGGGTGGACAGACCGTGGTATTACGTTGTTCTTTGGGGCAGGTGGTGTGATCTGAATTATGGAGTTTGCTTTTTTGGCTTGATTTAAAGAATCTCTCAAGAATGTTTGACAAGCAGGTATTTATTGCGGTGCCGGGAGACATGGGGAATAGCTCCTCCTAGCGTGTCTCTGCCGAAGTGCTAAACAAGCCGTCCATAGATAGTTACTAGACATACATATTCATTACGCACATGCATATTCATGAGGTTACTTATGTATTACATCATTTCTCTAGACAGTTTTTCCCGCATGCGCACGTGGTAGTGGGCTTTGGCCATTCTTGACCTTCCATCCTGGCAGTCCTTGCAGCATGCACAGTAGATAAATGCTTACTCCAGCTTAATTGGTTTAGTAACACCACTGACATAATTGAATGATTTCTCCCTGTCCTACTTATCAGTTAACTCGGCTACAACTCATCCTGAACATCTGCTAGTTTAGATAATCTTCATCTACACGCCCCGTTTTGCTTACAATTAATACTGTACAAGGTTATGGGGTCCTAGAACTACATCAGCTACCGTCATTTATCTTTTACAAGGATGACCACTAAGCAGAACTTAACTTACTTACTTATAACAGGTTGTATTTCAACCTGTTTTCTCTATTTCAAAACTGCTTAATCCTACACTGAAGGAAATCACTGCCATACTGTCTGAAATAGTGATTGAATTTTATCTAGTATCTAAAGGGAGCCTTTAAACTTTAGGGAACTAATGTATGTCTTTTTCCATTCAAAATCCTTGGAATTTATGGGAATAGTAATTTTAATTTGAAGAATATATTTCTCAAATAATAAAATAATTTCAAGGGTGAGAGATACAAGCACAGTGGGGCAGCAAATTATATGGGGGTTGTCATTTTCAAAATGCATGGGGTTTTGTGTTACGTTATTAGATTTGTTTATATTTTAACAAAAAACCGACTCGCTGCATGAAGTGAGATCAAGGGGGAATAAAGTGGACAAACACTGCTCGTGTGAGATGACAAATTACAGGCTTGTCTAAGCTAACCATGAAGTATGCTTCTGCTTCGTTTATCTTGTTCCTAATGCGATCATGTGAAAGAAGAGTGGTCGCTTAAAGTAGGCAACGTTACTGATCTGCATGTCCTGGAAGATGATCAGCTCCAAGGAACTTGGGCTTGTGAATTTGCTTTGGCTTAATTTAACTATTAGGACCGGGATCTGACCATCACCAATTCATGAGGCAATGAACCTACTTTAAGTAGGTTTCAGTGCGATATACGATAAGGTGCAGTGAGCTGTGTACAACTTGTTTTGGCTTACTCTTGCTTTGCAGATGTTGTGGAATCATTTAGACAAGTAAAAACCATCACTCACCGTAGGAGCCAGTGATCGGTAGGTGGAGAGAAGGCAAATCTCATGCTCGTTCGGGGCATTGCTGCAGTACGGAGAGAGGCTGGAGCCCACGGCGGTGACCACTGCTTGGAAGTAGCCTGCAGCTCGGGGCAAGCACGGAGGACCCTTGCTCCCATTTAGCACTAAGTGGTTCAATAAGGCCATTTAAATGATAGTTCAAATTCAGGGACATGACATGCACCGAGCCACGGCTGTTTCTTCCCTGCTGCACTTAAAGCCTCAAGGTTGACACGTTTCTGACCTCATGCAATGACTTTCCTCCTCAAACAGAAGCTTTCCAGGATAAAACGTGTATCTATCGGAGGACGGCCAGCATGCCGGGAATTGGAGCCAAGCGCAGAGGGCCGGACGCACGCCGAGGCGGATGCGGTGCCTGTCCCCGCCCGGCGGCTCGGGGGAGGTGCTGGGCCGGGCTGAGCCGCGCCACGACGCCTCCTGCAGCTGCCCGGGACGAGGGCTGGTGCTGCCGGGCTGTGAGTACTGGAGGGATCGGGACTCGGGCTCGCTGTGCACCGATAGTAAATGGGTGGCAATGACACGACTGCGGCCGCCCGCTCTGCCGGGGACGGGGGGCTGGCTGAAGGCAAAAGAAGGGGCCGCGGCCCGGGCAAGCGCTGAGGGCACCGTGCCCTCAGCCAAAATGGCGCCGCCACCTCACGTAAAGGCGGAGGGCGGGAGAGGCGGTGGTTGAGGGCGCTCCGCGCTGAGGGGCGGTGCGGGCCCTCGGGTAAAGGACAGGGCCATGAAGGTGCCTCCGCTGCTGCTGAGGGGGGGGAGGCCCGAGGGGCGCCCTCAAATGGCGGGCGTGGGGATGGCGGGAAGTATGTTCTCCCTGTGTGTGCATGCGCGGCGGGGTGAGGCGGCTCCGCATCACTAGCAGTGCGCGTTCGTGAGGGGCATAGGGGTTTCCCACCTCATTTTAAGGGTAGCTCCGTTTCTGAGGCCGCCTCGCAGTTGTGCTGAGAGAGTAGTTGGGTTTGGGGCTGACACTCACTGGAAAGCTGGGAGTAAGCTTCATCCCGATGCCTTTCTGTGTCTGCAGGAGCTGCTGTGGTGAGAGGTGCCAGAGTGGAAATGTGGGGTTTTACTCACTGCTTTGTGTGTCAGAATAAACTTGTGGTGAGGACTTCGATGGGGAGGGCTGGTGTCACTGGTTTCCTCTAGCCCTTAAGAGAGTCAGTGGGTCAGGTTGGAAGACATGGGGCTTTTTGGCTGAGAAGAAGCGGGAGAGTTTGGTAATGCTGGATATTGACTGGCCCAGAAGCAGTTAATTGTGGCTGTACTCGGACTTGTGCATAACGTGAGGGTGATTTCGACTGCTTTTAGCCTGGCCCTACAGTTGTGCTGGCATAGCCTAAAGCTGCCTTTTTCTTGCTCTTTAATGCCAGATTGCTTCAGCATGCCGTTTAGGTAAGAATTATAGGAGCATGTATTTATAGTTGGGAGTCAAATCAATTCATTTCACTATTTATAGTGGATATTTACTGCCTGCCATAAAAAAAAACCTGTGTTGTTTACTGTGATATTGAATCCTTTGTCTTTTTAAAGCCAGGCCCAGTTTAGTTAAATTGCTGGCATACTTGGGGAGATGTACTAAAGTGTTGTGAATGTGAAGGAATAAACTTAAAGAGGCGCAGCATAGTAAATCTCTACAACACATAGACATTTCTAGGTCCTTCTGACTCTATAATTACAACTTGTAGCCCGTCTGTGTAATGCTGAAACCTTACCAGGATGTGGTTAGGTATTCATGAAGTTGTGCACTGTAAGCTGGAAACTGGAGAGGACAGAGCTGTGCAACTCATGACTGTAAAATACAGTGGGCTTCCTCTCTGGGTTAAAATACTTATTGGGAGCCAGACTTGATGGGTTTTATATATGTAAGCATGGTGGGTGGCTTTTACATTTTAACAGTAACTGTGATAAGAGGGAGGTTTGCACATGGCAGTACAGGAGTTCTCATTTTGCTCTGGATGGCGAATATTGCGAATGAGCTTTAAGGGACTAGCTCAGAGAAGGGCTTGCATGGGGCAGGAAGTCCCACCAACTTCTGAGGTGGTGACGGGGACAACGTGAGTGCTGCTGTTCTCCTGTGCTGAGACCTAAAATCATCTGAGGCTGTAGGCTGGATCCCCAAAGGCGAAGGAAAGGAGTTAAACTCTTTGGTGAGACCTGTGCTGAGGTTCTTGTTGCTTGTGCTTTACAGTATTGGTTGTTGTTGTGCTAAATCTACTACAAAGCTTCGGTGTGTACTGTTGCAGAGATCTCTTTTGACTGTCTTTATCCTTGGCTATGTGATAACAGTCTTCTCTTTTGCTTTCCCTTCATAGGAATAATGTTTCCAACATGTCTGTGCAGTCACTGCTTTGTGAAAGAATTGCTCTTGCCAAAGAATTGATCAAGAGAGCAGAAGCCCTTTCCAGGTCCCAGAAAAGGAGAATAGAAGGTGGGGCAAAACTGTGCAGCAAACTGAAGGCTGAGCTAAACTTCTTACACAAGGTAGAAGCAGGGAAGGTGGCCGTTAAAGAATCCCATCTGCAAAGTACAAACCTTACCCATCTCCAGGCCATTATTCAGTCAGCGGAGAACCTGGAGGATGTTGTCAGTGTCCTCCATGTCTTTGCTTATGAGGACAGGTTTGGAGACAAGCAGACGCTCATGGTGGATGTTGTTGCAAATGGAGGTCACACATGGGTGAAGGCCATCGGCCGTAAGGCTGAGGCTCTGCATAACATCTGGCTGGGGAGAGGCCAGTATGGTGACAAAAGCATCATTGAGCAGGCAGAGGACTTCTTGCAAGCCAGCCATCAGCAGCCAGTGGAGTACAGCAATCCCCACATAATCTTTGCCTTCTACAACAGCGTGTCCAGTCCTATGGCAGAGCGGCTCCAGGAGATGGGAATATCTGTGCGAGGAGACATTGTAGCTGTGAACTCACTGGCAGAGCCATCCACAGAACACCAGCACCTTAGCACCAGTGAATCGGATGAGGAAGGCCCCGAACTCCTACAGGTGACCAGAGTAGACCGGGAGAATTTAGTGGCCAGAGTTGCTTTTCCTACTCAGATTAAAGTAAACGTGTGCAATAGAGTTAACTTGGACATCACTACCTTAATAACCTATGTCTCTGCTCTGAGCTATGGTGGCTGTAACTTCATCTTCAAAGAGAAAGTGCTAACAGAGCAAGCGGCTCAGGAAAGGAGGGAGAGAGTCCTGCCTCACCTGGAGGAGTTCATGGAGGGGAAGGAGCTCTTTGCCTGTGAGTCTGCTGTCAGAGATTTTCAGTCCATCTTGGAAACGCTGGGAGGACCTGGGGAGAAAGAACGAGCTGCGATGCTTGTGAAAAGAATTCAAGTGGTGCAAGATCAGCCATCTGACCGTGCCTTAGGACTAGTGGCTAGTTCAAAAATCAACAACCGTTCTCTAACCATTTTTGGGACAGGAGACACTTTAAAAGCCGTCACCATGACCGCAAATAGCGGTTTTGTGAGGGCAGCAGCTAACCAAGGTGTCAGGTTCAGTGTTTTTGTCCATCAGCCACGGGCATTGACAGAAAGCAAGGAATCTGTTGCCACACCTTTACCAAAGAGCTGCCCACCTGGTAATGGACTATAAGTCATTGAATGAGTCATTGGAATGCTGTAGGGGAGGCATTTGGGGAAACAAGAATCCTAGCAATACATTTTTGGGTGTGTGTCAGTGAAAGCAGTGACTGTTGCAGTGGAAGGGCTCCTCAAGGAATTTGCAGTATCTTTACTCAGCCCTTGGGGGATATTTTATTCAGCTGACCATTAATTTATTCGCTAAGGTAATAAGATTTCAGTGAAAATTGTTAACTGGTTTATAGTATATTGTATCCATCCCTATTAAAAAGTTCAGTTAAAGCACAGTTGTTGTGCCCTTGTCAATTTTGTCCTCTTCAGGGAGATTAAATTCAGCACCTTAGATGGACTTCAGACTTGGCTTCTGTGGAACTTAAATCTTTCATTCATCTGACTGAATTCATTGTTGATTCAGGGTACTTTGTGTACAGAATTGTGCCTTTTTGGGTGTATGTTATTTCATGAATTCATGACTAGTGTCTGCGAGTAGAAACCAACTTAAGTCATCCTTTCCTGAAAGGAACCTCTGTATGCATACCATGTTAGACTGAATTAGGCAGCAGCTTTGAAATTCCCTTAAAAATCAGTTGAAATTGGAGTTTATTTGCACTAATATGTTGTGACTCTTGGGCCGAACTGGACATCCAGTAGTAACAGATCAAGGAGACAAATCCACTTCCCTTTTCTCTTGGCCTTTGCCAAATGCAAAGTCTTGCTGAATGCAAAACAGCCTGAGGCTTTGAGATAGCAGAATGCTCCTAAATCGAGCCAGCACCCAGGTGAGTTCTAATACTAATAGGCTCCCTGCTGAGGACTCATGGTGAACTCAAATTCGACTTTGTTGTTTGAGGTTTACCTGAACCAAAGCCTCACTGAGGTCCTTCAGCGTTGGTGTGGCAGAGGAGGAGGTTTCTGGGGCATATTGTTAAATGCTAGTTTGCTCTGTAGTAGGGAGAAGCTTTTTCACTGGTGTGTTTTGCTGGTTTTACTCAAAGTGTAGACTAAACAATTCCTTATTTGACTTTTTTTTTTCAGGAGAGAGTTGCATTTTGAGAAGTCTTTCTAATGTGTTTCTGTATGCAGTAATGACAGGAGTTGCTGTTTGGTATGAAATTGCATCAGGTTCCTAGAGGAAAATACTGAGATGCCAGAGTGAATTCCTGGTCCCAATCTATACGTTTTATCAGGTCAGTGAACGAGATACTCACTGAATATTTTCAAGGCTGTTGTTCAATAAGATAGCATTATTATGCATCTTATAATTCAGGCAAAGAACATTCCCTTGCCTCTTGCCACTACACTAAATTTCTTCTGTTAGTACAGAGTAGCTGCAGTGCTGCCTTTAGCCAGAGTCTAAATGTGTTTCTTTCTGTCTCCAGTGCTCTGGTATACTCCAGCACTGGTGTAAAGGTACTGGCATGCCAGCAAAGCCACTCTGCATACCTCTTCCAGCTGAGTGATATTGACTCCAAGGAGCAACAATGTACTTTTGTCAGTATCACTCTTGCTCTGACAGCACTATGCCTTTAGAGTAACCTATTAGGAGCTGTCACCAGTATCCAAGTGCTTCATATCTTTACCTAACAATGCGGAGGCCAGTCTGTTCTTTACTTGCACCTCGTTTCTGCTGGTCACTGAGGTAGTTCATGCGGTTTAGTTAAGATGAGTGGAACTGGATTTTGTTGTTACCTGCCAGTTTCACAGTTCTCCCTTGGCAAATTGTTATAGCAAAACATGTAGCTTGTTCCTACAGTCTTAACGCAGTGTAATGAAACCTCATGGCAGGACACATACCCCACTGGATCCACCAATTTTCCTAGAAGTTCTGAAGGGAAAGGAGGACCAGAGCAATGAAATTACATAGATGTTGGCTGTCTGCCTTAAGTGATTACAGTTCAGGCTTCATCAAACAGGAGCTTAGGGAGACAGTGCTTTATCATGGCATGATGGATTCACCAGAGCACAAACAGATGCTCACGTACATGTCCCAGTACCATAAAGAGCTGGGAGGAAAGGTGCCTTTTGTTTCTGCCATGGGAGTTTCTTACTGTGGACACATCTGTGATGTCTTTCCTCTGCATGAGGTGTGGGAGAAGAGAAGAAAAAAGAACACTGTTTCAAAACTGTTTCTATTTGATACCAAAGTCCTAAAAGAAGGTACATGTTACTATTCTTGGTGCATAATTTATAAACAAACAACCTGAGAGGGGGGTTCTTTTTGTTTGCAACTGAGAGCTTTAAAAGCTGGGGTCCCAACAAATGGCTTACTATATATCACTGGTTAATCTGTTTCACGATCTTCCAGGATATACCCAAAGCTAACTGCATGGTAACAGTGCAGTTATGCATGGTAATTCATTATGACCTTTTAAGAACTGATCCTTTAAGTTACTTTTAATTTGCTTTCAACCCTCCTACCCTGATGAGGGTTTGAGTGAGTAAATGGGAGACAGCTGCTTCATGCCTCTGTCTCTGGAGCCATCTTGTGGTAATTATTTTCATTACCAGTCTTTTGCCCAACACAGTATTTGTTACTGAATGCATTTTCTTTCTTTTACCAGTTTACCAATCACATGAGCAATTCTACAGGAATATGAAATTCTAGAAATTGTGTAATGTGTTTTAATTGTAATATTTGGTGTCCTTTGTGTTGCCTTCCAAGATATTAGTGATCTCTATATATCAGCTGGTGCTCTGTCTTGGTGTGTTTATATTGTACTTCATTTCATGATCGGGGGATTAGATGTTGCACTTATTTATGATTTGAGAAATGAGTAATTGAAAGATACTAAATTATGTTTGAAATTAAGTTGATAAACATAGAAATCCAAGACTGCTCATCTTTTCTTCCAGTATCACATCACTGCTTTGTCTGCACTATAGCAGGCACTCAAGGATACAGAGATGTCTCACTTGCTGCTATGGATTCGGTTTGAGATTTTCAGTGTCCTTGGCAAAGGTGGATTCCTAAATTGTTTTGGAGGAATAGTTCTTTTGGTGCTTTTAATTTACTTTACATTACCTCTGTATGGTTCCACAGTCTTTGAGGGGAGCCAGCATCTCTGTTCTGTGCAGCACTCAGGCTGCTCTTTTTGCTCCAACACTAAGAATGCCAAACCAGGAGTGCTGCAGTTGATGCCAGGCAGTGGAAAGTACTTGGATATTATATGAGAAATAAACAGGTAAGTTGTTAATACATTCACGTTTCTAATTTGCCTTCTACACTTTTTTCAAAGGCAAAACGTATTTCTGGACACAACTGTGTATATCCTTTACTTGCTGTTGTTCTGGCTGACAAAATTTGCAGATCAATGACTTTGTCATTGTACCTGCAAGCTGTGAAGATGCTCAGAGGTAGTTTTGGGTGTTGCAGCCACAGCTGTTTTAGAAGTATTATTCTCTGGTAGCTTAATGGCTAAATAGTGGGTTGTGTTTCAAACTTGTCCCCCTTACCTGATGATGCCTTCAGCAGACTTAAAGCAGTTTGCTGAAGTTATTTGGAGCCTGTCTGGAAATACTTCCACAACCCAGTTCCTAGGTCTTGAGAACTGAATGTAGGCTTGGTCAGAACAGTAATACACCAAAAAAACCCCACAATCATCAGTTGTTTGGGATAAGTTTGAGAAAAAACCTAGAAAAAAAAATACCTTAAAGTCTTTTTTTTTTTTGTTCAAGTGGAGATTTTACAATAATGACAAAGCATGTAGTTGCAATGACATTCTTTATTTCAGGTTATTCTACAAGTGAAGCAGCACAGGTCACCTCTTAGCTAATTAACCTTGTACAGTAAGCAGGAACTAGACAGGGTTGACCTGAAGGCTGTGGTTACAATTTTCCTGCAAGCTGTAGTTTTAGGAACTGCTCCACTGTCCAGCTTGCTGCAGGCACTGCCTGTGTGTTCTTGTGTGGCAAAACCAACTCTGTAGGTATGTGTGGCTGTTTCGTTTCCACCGAGATTTAATATGGTAGTTTATTCTAGAGTAAAAACAAAGACAGTGAATGTAACACTACAACAGGACTGCTCAGAACTGTGACTGTGGGGCTGTGCACATTGTTCCCTATGAACACCATAGAAATTAAGGTTGTTCTTACTGAAACTGTTGTAAAAAATAAACACTCAAGCCTTAATTGTTCGGAAGCTTCTGTCCATTTTAAAGAGCCTCACTTATAATGCCTTATACAAGACATTCCTCACTCAAAAAAAGTCTACCAAAAAACCAAAACCCCCAAATGCCAAAATAACACAACCAATGACCCCAACCTAAAAAAGAAACCCAAATGAATTAACAGTACCTGATAATGAGGCTGAGTGCATGATAAAGCAGCTCACTGTGGATGAGAAACACCACAGGGCACAGCAGTTTTGATAGGTGCCAAAATCAAGGGCCTAGAAGGGTGAGTAGCATGAGTGCTTGATAGTGTTTTTTTGCTGAGGCTCATCACATCCATTTCCTGAAGCATCTGAGGTCTCAATACTGCTCTAGTGGTAGCAGTAGTGAAGGTGATGGATTTCCTTGGGCTTGCTGTAAACTAACATAGTGCTTCCAAGTTATGGTGGTGGTAGTAATGCTGGTTAATTTGGGGGGGCTGTTTTCTGAAACCACACTAGACATGATACTATAATTTGCAGTTTTCCTAACACAGATATAGCCCTAAATGCTGTTGAGGCATGTGGGAGAAACTCTTCAAAGGAAAAGTGTTCAAGGGAAAAGGCTCTCAAAAAATGAGGCAGCTGATGGGAACAGGAGTGAAGGAATATGGAAGGTTAAGTCAGTGTTAGATTGTCTTGCTAGCCAGACTAAAAGCGTGGCAGGAATGGGTGAGGATGGGGGAAAAGTAATCCTTTGGTGTATCCCCTTCCATGCCCTGTGTCCTGTTGTAAGCTATGGTGAAGTTGCTTATAACAATAAGGGATAAAGGGTGATACATTACACAACCTCCATACTACAGATGGATGGATGGATGGATGATAGGACAGACCCTCTGCTGATTTGCAGTCACTGCATTTCTGACTTCTCTTCAGTTTTTTTCTTGTATAGGGGATAATTTAGCCTGTCTTTACAGAGATGAGGTTCACCAGAGTGGAATGTAACTCAGGCAGACCACAGCCTTTATAACAATGAAACTCTACCATGTATATCTGGGTTTGGTTTCTGTTTGGTTTTGCTTGATTGATTGCTTTTCCCCTACATTAGGAATGCACATT